GTTTAAAGTCTACAGTAGTGCACAGTAATATCCTAGGCCTTTACATTCACTCACCTCTCATTCACTAACTCACCCAGAGCAACTTCTAGTCATGCAAATTCCATTCCTGGTAAGTGCCCTATACACACATTAAAAATAGTATTATACCTTTTTTTTCTCCTTTTTCAAACAATTGATTTATGAAGGAAGTATTACATACAACTCACTACTGGGAAACTGCTACTTTTAATTTTAAGCAACACCTAAACACTAAAAAGACAGCCAGACTTATTTATTTATTTTTAAAATTTATTTTTAAAATTTTTTTTGCATTACAATTTTTAATACACCATTATACAATAATTTATCATATTTCTGATTATATATAAGGTAAGTTGACACCAAATCAGACTTATTTTTTTAATTTGTTCTTTTTTAGTTATCCATGACAGTGAGTGTATTTTGTCAAACATACATGGAGTATAACTTCCCATTCTTATGATTATACACCATGTGGAGTTACATTGGTCATGTATTCATATATGAACATAAGAAATTTATGTCTGGTTCATTCTACTGTCTTTCCCATTCCCATCCCCCCTCCCCTATCAGCATTTCCCCCTGCCTGGTGAACCTCCAGGGTCATCATAACAAGATACTTTTGTCTCTACTCCAACCTTTCATATATACATACATACCAAATGTGACCCACCAAATGTGAGTCAGCATCTGCATATCAGATAGAACATTTGGATTTTGTTTTTTTGTTTTTTTTTTTCTTTTTTGTCTGACTCACAGAAAGGACTTCTGCTTTTGAATCCTCCATGATAAAGTAGCTTGCCCACTGACTGAAAACAACTGGAAATCTAGACATCATATTTTTAAGTCACTGGTTAAAGCTGAAAAATCATGATACTGGGATGAGGAAAAGAAGTTAGAAGAGCTCTTAATTACCTTAGATTGCTATCAGGTAATATCCCAGAACTGTATCCTAAGAAGGGGAAACCCAAGAGGATATGAGAGTCTCCTGAGCTGACCCATCAGTGATTAGAGTACACAGAGTATAGGGACCTACCCTGACGTGATGGTAGCCATCTTGCCCACCAGGTGACGCTGACATACATTCCAAATGCTGCAGGACAGTCATTAGGATAGCTGAATATTCTGTGCTGAGCACTGCCACCTGGGCTGTCTCCTAACTAAAGTTTGGCATGTTGGTTCTTTTGCCGTATTTCTATTGTATCTTTTCTATGTTCTGATATGTTTAGATACACAAATACTTTTAAATTATATTACCTATAGTATCATTACAATAACATGCTGTACAAGTTTGTAGCCTAAGAATGTAGGCTATACCATATAGCCTTGCTTGCTTGCCAGTGCATTTATCAAAACATATTCCCATCATTAAGCAGTGCATGACTGTACTTCAGGAATGATGATGATGTAATAATATTAATCTTCCCTTTGAGTGCCTGATGAAAGAAGGGTCATCATAACAAGATACTTTTGTCTCTACTCCAACCTTTCATTCATACATACATACATACATACATACACCATTCCTGCAACTTAAGGAACGTAGACCCAAGATAAGCTGCAACAACAAAAGATGTCTAGTTCTCTACTTGCCTTTTGTTATCTGTTGATGGTAGCATGAATTCCCGCAGAGTGTGGTCTTATGCCTGATGTATTGCCATTCCCTTAACTCTGCCAATGGAGGCCTATATAGGGATGATCTTACTACAAATTCATCAGTAGATTCTTTTAAATGATGCTCCCCCAGATGTGTGGTTATTAAACTGTACCCTTAGATGGTATAAAGGCTTAAGAGTTTAACCATTGGAGAAAGTGGCTGAGACAGGGTAGAGAACAAGATCAATGTTTTGTGGAGATAAGATTAGGAAACTAAGAAACCAGGATATCAGATTGTTTGGATGTTAAAATCAATAAAAATTAGAACAGAGCAGTGTTAGAATGACTGTGAGCCACACCCTAAAACTATCGAAGAATCAAAGTAGTGATCTTGGGGAGTCATAAATGACTGCCATAGGAAAGGTGGTGGGTAGTCAAATCTGGTATGTGATTCAGAACAACTGGAGAATGTTCTGGATATTAGCAGAGAGGAATAAGAAGGGCACTTACCAGGCTTTTTGTTTGAGGAGTGTGGAAGAGAAAGAGTCCTCATCTAAAAGGGTTACGGGGAAAGCAGGATCTTCAGGAAAGAGACAAGTTTCAGTTTAAATAAGAAGATGAAAGAAGTTGAAAACTTCTGAGAAGAGGTCAAGGATATGAGGATTTTGCTGATAACTACCACAGAGCTCAGTGGAAGGGTTAAGGTTTCAGGGGATATGAGGGGTAGAGACTTAGATTTTATCATTTCTCCCTTAAGTACATCCTCAATTCCTTTGCTTCCTTCTCACTTCAGCAGCCTCACTTGGTTAAACTATAGTACCAGTTAATCTAATTCTTTGCCTATTCCATGCATGTTTAATGCAAGTCCTACTGAACTTGAATTAAATTTATGATCATAATTTCAAGTGGACCCTAAGAGTTACCTGGCAATCATACCAGATTTCCCCAGTCATTTATCTCAGTTTCATCTCCTTGAGAATGACTGTTTTGTATCTTTAGTCTTTTCACATATTCAATCTCTCTTCCTCACTCTTCACTTTCAAAGGATGTCCTTGCTTCCTGTCTCACTGAGTAAACCGACTTAGAAAAGGACTTTTATAATTATAGCTACCTACCACCTATAGTAACATATATTTTGTTTTTTCTCGTTACCAGGAAAGAACTAGCCAACTAGTACTTTGCAGTTCTCTCATGCCATCAGTTTTCTCCTCTTCTAAATCATTCTCTTATGTATAAAAATATGCTTTTATTTCTTCTATCTTAAAACTAATAGTTCTTGACTCCACTTTTCCCTCTAGCTATTGACTTATCTCACATAAACTTTACAGCAAAACTTCTTGAAACAATTATCTATATTCTTTTGGTAAATTTTTCTTTGCTCATGTTTTAAACTCAAACCAGTCAGACTTCTTCCACAGTTTCATCAAAACCACTCTTTTCAGTTATCAGTGATAACCCCCCAACTGTCATTTCTTTTTATCTGACATTCTAGAGCTGAGTTGATTATTCTCTCCTCCTTGAAACATCTTCACATGGCTTCTAAGATACCTGTCAAAAATTATGAAGGATCTAAGATTTTGCCTGATTTGTAAGTTAACAAGTTAATCTGCCATAAATTCATGAATATTGGTAGAAGACACAGACTTTTGGATCTGAGATAGAAGGTTATTACAGCAGTAGCCAGAGAATCAGTATTTTTGTACTAGTTTTCCTTGGCCCCATTTTTCCTAGGACAATGTGAAGAAGGTAGCTAACATGCATGCATATTGTTTTGTATTATTGAAAAGGAAACCTAATCTGAAGGAGATATATCTTTATTGTATTGGGCAATAATTCTTTCCTTTAGAGGTCTAGTCTCCCAAAACTCTTCACTATACAAACATTTTTGGGAAATAGTCCAGAACTATCATTTATCACTGACTACCAACATTGTCATTGCCTCACTTATACAGAAATATGACAGACCCATGGAGAAGTGTCTATAATAGTTCCTCCCTTTCTGGCCACTTCTTTTCAGTGTCCTTTGCTAATTTCTCTTTCCTTTCCCAAACTCTGGATATATGCTGCTTAGTACTGCAGCTGCTAGCTATGTGAACCTATTTCAATTACATTTTAGTTATTCAGTTGCATTAGGTGTATCTCCAGTGTTTAGTAGACCCTGTGTGTAGTGGCTCTCTCTCAAGTGATACATATAATGAGAATATTTCATCATCACAGAAAGTTTCGTTGGCCAGCACTGTTCTGCATGTTTGAGTACCACAGGGCTGTCTTTAGATGTCTCCTTTTTACTTTCTGTAATCTTTCTTTCCTTGAGTGTTTTATCAAATTTAATGACTTTATGATTCCCAAATTTCCAGCCCAGATTCCAGCCCAGATATCTATCTGCTAGATATCCTAAAAATGTGTCCAAAACAAAAAAATATCAAACTCCATAGACAATACTGCAGTCCTCATTTTGCACTGTGTGGAAGTACATATTACCTGATTATCACACCAGTAGTGATGCTAAATTTGACTAATATGTTAAAAATAGTAACTTTAAGAGCTTTGTATTATAAATTTACATTTTCCTTTGTGATTAACAAGTGAGGCTAATGTTATTTGTTTAACCCTGTGAGTTTAATACTTTTTAATTAAGTAATTGTTTTTTCAAGGAAAACCTTTTTTGAAGATCCTGTATCTAAAAAGATAGAGTTGCTGTTCCTGCTGCAGTGGAAGATGTTTAGTTTTAGCAGCTTCCGAAGGAACTCTGACAAGCAGTGTGTAACCCACAGAGCCTGTGCAAACTCTTGAGGAAGTGGAGGCTCAGAGAGGATACACAAAGTCTTCCAGCCATCTAGCAACTTAAGATAAAGGCTCAGTACACATTAGAGCACAATTTGGGGAGCTCTTTCACTTCCTTGCAAAACTGTGGTTGTGGATGATCATTAGAACAGCGCTTGGTTTTTTTTCCTGGCAGTCCACCCACTCTTTTTAGTTGTCTGAGTGAGTTCTCTGACATTCTATCTGTTCTGCAGATGTGAAGATTTGAAATTACTTCATTTTTAGTGTGTTACAGTCTTTCTTTCTTTTTTTTTTTTTTTTTTTGTTTTCCTTTTGGAAATTATTCTTCATCCACAAAGAATTCCTGTTTCAGACATTATTCATCTGTGTCTGGAGCACTAAAATCTCTTGAGCTTCCATATCTCCTACCTCTTTCCACCTTTAGAATTCAGAATCCTACCACAGCTGATGTCAGTTTTAGCATTTGCTTCTTGCTTCCTTTCTGTATCTTACACAGCCTGGTGTACCTTAGTAGAGAATTGAATAAATAAATTTAGTATTGTATATAAGTTTGTGTGATAATAGATTTTTATTTTCATGGAAAGAAGTTTGTTCATAGTAAGTGGGGAAAACAGGAAATAAGCTATAATCTCACTTTTGTTTTAAAGAAATACACAAAAAAACTCATGCCTGTTCATGTATATATGTATGTTTAAACCCAAAAAGGATATTTTTTGACACATTGACACTACCTCTTTGATCTTTGTTGCTTTCTTTGTCTTTCTGACTTTATTCCAGTATGTCTTACTTCTATAGTCATTACTTCTATCATGATTAAACCTATTTAAAACAAAAACCAGAAATCATTTGTCATGTGCCAAAGTCAGTTCCAGGTTCCTCTCCATGTCACTGCCACCTATACCATTCTTTGGGATTTTTCTCTTATCCAATTCAAGCAAATTTTCTCTGACCCTGTGCTTCTGTTTATTTTACCCTAGAATTGCCTACTTGGCTCTGTGAATTCTCTGTTCTCTTGTGTCACAATGAACTCCTCAGGAAAGCAAAGAAGGCCATAAAAATTATGTCCTAAAAGGAACTGTCTTTAAAATGTTATCTCCATCACGGTTCAGGAGGAGCTCAGTAAATAACTATTGAATTAATTTACCTATTCTTTTTTTCTCATTTCTTTTATCCCATAAATTCCTACAAGACAGAAGACGACTTGTTTTCTGCAGTGTGCTGAACATTTTGGTACTTAAGATAAATTAATGAACGAAGTATTTTTAAGAAATATATCCATAGTTTACATAATAAAGATAAAATTAAGATCTCTTTTCAGCTTTGACCAGAATTTGTGCTTACACCAGGGTGTAGGAAGGCACAGAATTTAAAGGTAAATTCTGCTCATAGTTTTCTGATCATGAGTTAGTCACTTAAGCCAGTTACCCCCTCATGGATTCTCTCTGGAGTCTGCAGAGGCCTTCTACCTGGCTTACTTCACTTTGTCTTGCTTTCCTAAGTCTGTCCTCCACAGTACTACATAAAGTGCTCTACCTACAGTTTAAATCCAACCATGTTTCTCCTCCCTCTCCATTTGAAAAAGAGTTCTCTGAAGCAGTTACCTCTGTCCTACCCCTTTAGCTTTGGCTCCTGGAAGCCAGCTTGACACTTGAATATAAAACCAAACTCCTGGTAACTCCCATGCCACCTTCTGTATTGCTCCCTCTGCTCACCCAGCATTTCCCCTTCTTTCCTGTGGTCAACTACTTCTACTGTTCTCCAGGACTGGGTTTAGTTGTCCCCCCTCTTGGGAACTCTTTCCTCCACCTAAAGATTAGGTATCCTCTTTTTCTCCCCACTCACACTGAGAGCTACATGAGGTAATACTGTAGAATTGGGCTATCTCGAAGAGTACCTAGTCTGAGGTAGTACTCAAATGTTTATTAAACAGTATACATGTTCTTCTAAACTGTCCCAAGTGATTTTTCCCCCATAGAGAATGCTATCTGATTTTTATATGATCTCCAAATTAAGAAAAATATTTAGAAAAGGAAAATGTGTGATTTAAAATACTATCAGCTAGACAGAGACAACTATTGTGATGTTTTGGAATATATAATAGAAATTTTTTGTGTGCACACACATGCACTAGGCATTGAACTCGAGGTCTCACAAAAGCTACACAAGTGCTTTACCATTGAGCTGCACCCCTAGCCTGAGAATTTTTTTTAATTACAAAACTATATAAGCTTAACCACAAATTTTTATTTTGGAGCCAGTTCTCAGGGAAATCCATAGTTTTGCAATTAAATATGAATAGCCAGTTCATTATCTTCCATCAAATAATAAAAAATAGTTTGCTGGCAAAATATAACATTTTCCTAATTGAAACCAAGAAAAAAAAACAAGTTTTGTTTTTCTCATGTTGTCTGGACCTCAGAGCCATCTTTCAGCATGTTTTTTTCCCACCCCGCAGAGGAGAAGGTGAAATCTCGGTGACTGAAGTAACTTGACCAAGTTATCAGACTACCAAAGTAGACAGTACAGAAGCTGAAGCTGGACCAGGAGCTCCTTACTGCCCACCTGATGCTTTTCCCTTAACCACACTTTGTTCCTCTACGGGAAGAAAGATAAAAGTAAGTTTTAAAGCACTTCCTAATTTCTATATGCTCAAATTAGGCCTGCTCCTGGAATATTATTATATTACTAAATCTAAAGTGTTAATTTTTCTTTCATATTACATACATAGTTTCTTTGAACATCAGAAAGTAATCCCTTTTGAGACGAGTTCCCTTTGTCAATTTATTTTCTCAACTATATTTGAAGTGAAAATAAATTGAATATCCCAGGTCTCGTCATTTTATCCACCAAGTAGTTCTATGGGTACCTGTTTTGTATTCCTCTTGACTCTTCTCTTAGAAGCAGTTTCCATATTGAGTCATTCATGAATGATTGCCCATGTTTTCCAGGCAAAGCAATAGTTTTATTATTTTTAAATGACTCATTACTTCTGAATCATCACACCTTCTGTACCCTGTTAAATAAAAAATTTTAAAGACACTTCTAAAATTTCTTCTGCTCTCAGCTTTTAAATGACCCACTAACTAACATGGATATTCTATCAGTGCTTTCTTGTATCTACAGTTCATGTTGATCATTTCTTCTTGAACTCTTTCATCAGCTGAGATAAAACAATGGAATTTCTTTACTTCATACTGCCTGCTCCAGATGTTTCCTGAAATGGAACAAATAAATAGCAACATAAAAATATTTGTAACACCTTTCTGTACTTTCCATCATTACATTTGTATTGTGTAAAGTTTTATTAACTTCCCAACTTTCTTTATGAAATTAGGAAGAAACACCCATAAAAGCAAAATAAGCTCTGATGTTTGTTAAACAAACAAACTTCTCTGAATTCAACATCCAACAAGTTGGAAGAAGGAAACACTTTCCTGCCTTGAATTCAGTGACATATTTTGCTGGTTCTCCACCTGTCTTTTGAATATTCATTTTGTCTCCCTTCTTACATCCTTCTCCTTGCCTTATGTATGCCAGCCTTCCTCAGAATTTTGTACTTGACCTTTTCACATACAGTGCATGCTAAGTCTCATCTATTCTTCTGGCTTTAAAACCCTTATCTTTGATACTTACTCCCAAATCTTTTTCTTCAACTCTGTCTCTTGCTGCCAAGTATATCCAGCTGAATGAGGAGTGTCTTCTGAGTGTGTCACTGAAACATGAAAATAAAGCTGAATTCATTTTTACTCTACCCTTGACCCTCCAGCCAGCCTTAGCTCTACATCTTCATAGAGATCATCTTCACATCTCCCTTCAACTTATTTTTAATTTTTAAAATTTGTAATAAATATTATTTTCATGTTTAAAGAATCATTATAAAAGGCTTTTTAAAAATTACCATCATTACATTTGTATTGTGTAAAGTTTTATTAACCAGTTTCCATTCCCAAGTAGGCATACTCCTAAAAAACTCAAATTTTTCTTCACTATTTCTTCTTCTGTTTATCTCCAAATTTCTAAATTCATACTTATTGCTAATTCATCATTCATTAATTTTAAACATTATGAATTTTAGCTCTCAGCCTGTTTTACCACATTGACAAAATAAAGGATAAAAATTATATGGTCATTTCATTAGATGCAAACAAAATATTTGATAGAATTAAAAACACATAAAGTTTTATAAGACTCAACAAATTAGAAATAGAAGGGAGTTTTCTCAGCCTGATAATGGGCATCTACAAAAAGTCCTACAGCTATTATCATACTTAATGGTGAAAGACTGAATACTTCTTCCCTGAAATCAACTACGGGGCAAGGATTTCTGAATTCACTGCTTCTATTCAGCATTATTGGAAATCCTAGCCAGTATGGCAGCAAGGCATGGTAAAGGTAAAGCTGTGTCTATTCTCAGACAATACAATTATCTATATAGAAAATCTCAATGGATTTACACAAAAAAAAAAAAATATAATAAGCGAATTTAGCAAGGTAGAAAGTGATAAGGTTGATCAGCTGTATTTCTCTGTACCAGCAAAGAACAGTATGTAAAATAATAGTGTCATTTTAATTAGCATAACAAGACATATTGGAGAAGAATTTAATGAAAGTCCTGAAAACATTAAAGAGCATCTAAATAAACAAACAGATATACTATGTTTGTGGACTGGAGACTTGATACTGTTAAGATCTCTATTTTCACCAAATGGAAATTGAGATTGAATGAAATTCCACTTAAAATTCCAGCGGGCTTTGTGAAGATTGCTGATTCCACTGTTTTTGTGGAAGGCAAAGAACCTAGATATCCAAAACAATTCTGGGGGAAAGAATTGAGAGATATGATTTATAATTTTCATACTTACTCTAATTCTACAATAATTAAGGCAGAATAGGATCAGTATGTATGTGTGTGTGTGTGTGTGTATGTATATATATATATATATATATATATATATACACACACACACACACACACACACAAAATTATAGGGAATTCAGAATTAAGCCCCATATATAGTTGGTTTTCATCAAAGGCTCCAACATAATTCAATAGGGTCAGTAGTCTTTTTTTTAATTTGTGGTTCTGGAGATCAAACCCAGGGCCTTATGCATGCTAGGTAAGACCTGTACCTCCAAGCTGCATACCTAGCCCCAGAATAGTCAGTGTTTTGAACAAATGTTGCTAGATGATCTTCAAACTCAACCTCATAGCATACATAAAAATTAATTCAAAGTAGATATAGTTTTAAAAATAAAGCTGAAACTATAAAACTACAATAAAGAAAAAAAAAGCTCAAAAATCTTTGTGACCATAGGATAGGCAAAGATCTCAGCATACAAATGTATTAATAATAAAAGAAAACTGGATTAATTGGACGATAAAAATTAATAAGATTAAAATGTTTACTCTTCATGATAGCACACACCTATAGTACCAGTTACTCAGGAGGCTGAGGTGGGAAGATTAATGTATCCAGGACCAGTCTAGAGATATAGTGAGACCCTGTCCAAAAACAAACTAAAAAAACTTCCTACTTTCAAAAGCTATTGTTGAGAAAATGGAAAGAAGCCACAGACTAGGAGATGATATCTATATCTAAAATATAAAACAGAACTCTTAGAATTGAATAATAAACATTAATGTGTTTGTATCCCTGTAGTATGCTGTTTTTAAGTCCTTTGGGTATAGACCCAGGTGAGGGATAGCTGGGTCAAATGGTGGTTCCATTCTCAGTTTTCCAAGAAATCTCCATACTGCTTTCCATATTGGCAGCACCAATTTGCAGTCCCACCAGCAATGTATGAGTGTACCTTTTTCCCCACATCCTCACCAACACTTATTGTTGTTTGTCTTCATAATAGCTGCCATTCTGACTGGAGTGAGATGAAATCTTAGAGTAGTTTTGATTTGCATTTCTCTAATTGCTAGTGATGATGAACAATTTTTCATACATTTGTTAATTGATTGTATGTCATCTTCTGAGAAGTGTCTGTTCAGGTCTTTGGCCTATTTATTGATTGGGTTATTTGTTTTTTTGGTGCTTAGATTTTTGATTTCTTTATATACCCTAGAGATTAGTGCTCTATCTGATGTGTGAGGGGTACAGATTTGCTTCCAAGATGTAGGCTCTCTATTCATCTCACAGATTGTTTCTTTTGCTGAAAAGAAACTTTTTAGTTTGAATCCATCCCATTTATTGATTCTTGATTTTAATTCTTGTGCCAAAGGAGTCTTATTAAGGAAGTTGTAGCCTAATCCCACATGATGGAGATTAGGGCCTACTTTTTCTTCTCTTAGACACAGAAATATCAAGAGATGAAATGATTGAATTGTAAGAGCTGTAAACCTAATTAGTCAATCCTAGCTGGAATGGACTGACTGAGTTTTAGCTGTAGGCAGGTGGGGTGTGGCTGGAGGAGATGAGTCACTGGGGGCAAAGCAGGGGGTTCCCTGAAAGCATTGTTCTTCCTGTGGTCCCTTTTCCCCCTCTTTTTGCTTCTGGACCCCACCATGAGCTAGGCAGCTTTTTGTTCTGGGCCCTTCCTCCATGATGTACTGCCTCATTGTGGGCCCAGAACAATGCAGACATTTTCTATGAATTGAAACTTCTGAAGCTATGAGCCCCAAATAAACGTTTCTTTCTCTAAGTAGTTCTTGTTAGGTATATCGATCACAGCTAAAAAAAAAGAATTGAATAATAAAAGACAACCCAAGGATTTGAATAGACTCCTCACCAAAGAAGATATATATGAATTTCTAATAAGCATATAAAAATGCTCATATCATTGAATCATCAGGGAAATGCAAATTAAAGCCACACTAAGATACCACTTCACACTAAGATGACTAAGATAGCTCTCAAGTGTTGCTAATGAAAATGTAAAATGGTGGGAGATCCCGGCTGACTGATCCACACAGCCCGCCATGCGGCTACAGACGGTGGGGCACCACCGAGAAGCGACCAGCAAGCAGGGAGAAGCGTTGCTGTGGATTCTGTGGAATCCTGCCGGCTGAGCCCCCACTGAGCCCCGGGCTGAGTTCGGGATTTCATACGGGGAAGGAAGCGGTACAGTTCTATCCCCTACAATGGAAACTCCACCAAGGAAACCAGCGGCCACCATCTTGGAGAGCTGAAGTAACCACCGCCACTCTCCGACAGATTGCAACAATAAAACAGGTGTGTGTTACTCAGCTCAGCTCCCATACAGCGGGGAATTCGCATAAAATCTTTCCTAGGCTTTCCGGGGGTGGGATTATCAGAGCAAGCCTGCATAAAGACACGGGGAAAACTAGAGACACCTGACTTTCAACTCCTCCTCCCATTAGCGGTGAAAACGAAACCTGTCTAGCCAGCGCTGGGGGAGGGGCAAGCGGAAAACATCAAAACAATAGAGTGCTAGGGTTCCCAATAGACACCCTCCACACCCTAAAAACGGCAGGCCCAGAGTACAGTTTGAACTGCCGAGCGGCATCACTCAGGGGAAATCTGGTCTAGCAGGAGAAACCAGGACTAGCAGGAGAAACCAGGGGACTAGAGGCCAGGCCCTCGCGACTGGGCGGCTGGAGACCGCACCCCCGCCGGCAACAGTCCACCCGCTGCCCGCGCGACTGGGCGGCTGGAGTCCGCCCCCCCCACCGGCGACCGATCGCCCGCCGGCTGCCCGCGCGACTAGGCGGCTGGAGACCGCCCGCCCACCAGCGACCAATCACCGGCCCGCTGCCTGCGCGATTGGGCGGCTGGAGACCGCCCACCTGCCGGTGACCAATCACCGGCCCGCTGCCTGCGCGATTGGGCGGCTGGAGACCGCCCGCCTGCCGGTGACTGACTGGGCGGCTAGAGATCGCCCACCTGCCAGCGACCGGGAGCTGAAACCAACCAGAGACAGTCCAGTCCCACCCCGCCATTCGAACACCCCGGCAAGGAGCCTGGGGCCAGCCATAGCAGAGAGGTGACGTCACTGGAGCTCGGCCGTCGGAATTCCTTCCCAGCGGAATCCACTTTAGCAGGCATAGTCTACCAACACAAAGGAGAGACAACAGAGATATACAAAACCAAAACAAATCTATAGAAGAGAGCAGAAACACAGCAATCAGATAGAGCTGGAAAGTAACGTGAACATCATGAAAAAACAAGGGAAAAGGGAGTACAAACAATGCAGGACAACTTAATTCTATAGGAGGACCTAGAAGCATCAGAAACAGGGATAGGGAAAGAACTCAAGGCATACCTAACTCAGATGGAAAGGAATATTAGAGAAGACATGAGGCAGCAAGTCCAAGCAATAAAAGTATATTTTGAAAATGAATTAAACAAACAATTTCAAATGGCAAAGAACGAGCTTTACCAGGAGATAGAGATCTTAAAAAAAAATCAAACAGTAATCCTAGAAATGCAGGAAACTATAAACCAAATTAAAAACTCAAACGAGAATATTACAAATAGACTAGATCAAGTAGAAGTCAGAACATCAGATAATGAAGACAAAGTTTATCAACTTGAAAAGAATATAGTCAACACAGAAAAGATGCTTAAATCCCATGAGCAATCTATTCAAGAGATATGGGATGTCATAAAAAAACCAAATTTGAGAGTCATCGGGACAGAAGAAGGCATAGAGATTCAAACCAAAGGAATGGACAACATATTAAATGAAATAATTCTAGAAAACTTCCTAGAGATGAAAGATGGAATGGATTGCCAAATCCTGGAAGCCTACAGGACCCCAAATATTCAAAACCGTAATAGACCAACTCCAAGACATATAATTATGAAGATTCGGAAAGGAGGCAGATTACA